ACCCATTAAACAACAGTTTTCCATTCTCCCTCCCAACCAGCCCCTGGGCAACCAGCATTCTACTTCTGTTTCTATGGATTTGACTGCTTTAGATATTTCATATAAGGGAGTCATACAGGATCTGTCTTTTCGTGACTCAGAATCTGTATTTTAAAAAAATTCGGTCGTCACAGTGGCTCACGCCTGTAATCCCATCACTTTGGGAGGCCGAGGCAGGCGGATCACTTGAGGTTAGGAGTTCAAGACCAGCCTGGCCAACATGTTTAAACCCCATCTCTACTAAAAATACAAAAATTAGCCGGGCGCAGAGGTTCCAGTTAGCCAAGATCGTGCCACTGCATTCCAGCCTGGGTGACAGACCGAGACTCCATCTCAAAAAACAAACAAACAAGCAAACAAAAAATGAATCGCCAAGTACTTCTGATGCAGCTGGTGTGTGGTCTGCCGTTTGGGAACCACTGTCCACCTGGCTCCAGCTGAAAGGTGCCCTCTGCCTGTGTCTTTGCTCTTAGGAGCAAAATCAGATCTAGCACCCCCGGAACCTGGGGTGGGGGTTCCTTTTGACCTCTGGGGAGAATTTTCTCCTAGACAGGCTTCTCTCAAAGTCTACTAGAGTCAGATCAGGTAGTAACTCCACACCCCACATTATTATTAATGTTCATGACCTACATTTATATCATGTTTTAGATGCTGCTACTCAAAGCGTGGCCTCGCATTCCTTGGAGCTGATTAGAAATGCAGGGTCTCGGGCCACCCCCACGGCTGAATCCGAATCAGCACATTAAGAAGTTCCTCAGGGAATTCGTGTGCGCGGTGCATTGTGGCGTGGGAGCACAGCTCCAGGGTTTACAGAGTGGCATCTGGCGGGAGTTGGGGGAGGGAGGCCTGACCCCAGAGAGGAGAGGTAGCAGGAGAGGTAGCTGAGAGGCTGGGAGGCAGCCCATGCTGATGTGAGCCTGGTTTTGTCTCTCTCATCCCACTGCCTCAGTTCCCATTAAACGAAGCTGTCCCCATGGACCTGTCAATGGCCTCCTGGTGGCTTAGTCCCTGGACCTCAGTCACAAGCGGCCTTCCCAGGCCTTAGCCACCAATTCCCAGGGCCGCCTGGCTATGGGAAGATGGGCCTGTGCTTGGCTTACTTATTCCACGGCTTGGCCTGCCACAGACCCTTCCGGCAGGGCACCTGCTCTCGTGACGTCCCAGCAAATCCCATCCGTTTGCACTAGTCGCAACAGTGCACTTATTGGGCACTTACGAAATGCCAGGGACTGAGCAAAGGACTCCGCAGGCACCAGGTCATTTGGTCCTCACAAAACCCCATGAGGATGCTGCAAAGATTATCTGCATTTGGCAGACAAGGAAACCAAGGCTCAGAAAAGTAAAATAACTTGTACAAGTTCCCATAATTAATAAGTGCTCAAGGTGGGATTTGAACTCTTGTCGGTCTGCTGGGCCTGAGTCCTTAACTAGAATGCCTCCATTTTTCCTGTTTTTATGGAGGACACTGAAGTTCAGTTTTGCAATCTGCCTAGGGTCATATGGCTGTTAAGTGCTGGGCCTGGGGCTTGAACTCAGGATGGTGTATTCCCAAACCTCAAATTCTTAACTGCTGGGCTGGTTTCTTTATCCCAGGGGTCCCCAGCTCCCAGGTTGTGGACTGGTACTGGTCTGTGGCCTGTTAGGAACTGGGCCACACATCATGGGGTGAGCGGAGGGCAAGTGAGAGAAGCTTCATCTGTATTTACAGCCACTCCCCATCACTCTCATTACTGCCTGAGTGCCGCCTCCTGTTAGATCAGCAGCAGCAGTAGATTCTCAGGTGCACGAACCCTACTGTGAACTGCACATGTGAGGGATCTACATTATGCACTTTTTTTTTTTTTTTTTTGAGGCAGAGTTTCGCTCTTGGTGCCCAGGCTGGAGTGCAATGACGCAATCTTGGCTCACCCTTCCTGGGTTCAAGCAATTCTCCTGCCTCAGCCTCCCGAGAAGCTGCGATTATAGGTGCTTGCCACCATGTCTGGCTAATTTTGTTTTTTTTTTTTAGTAGGGACAGGGTTTCTGTGTGTTGGTCAGGCTGGTGTCAAACTCCTGACTTCAACTGATCCACCCACCTCGGCCTCCCAAAGTGCTGGGATTATAGGTGTAAGCCACCGCTCCTGTTCTTATGCACTCCTTATACAGGTCCCTGATGCCAAAAAGTTTGGGGACCCCTGCTTTACCCCATGTTACAGATGTGGGAGCTGAGACAGATGCTGAGCAAGTCAGCCTGGGTGTGTGAGGGTCTCCTATTGCTGTTCTGTCCACTCCAATTCCAGCTGCCTGGGCTCACTCTGGTATCAACCTTCTCTGTTTGGGCTACCTCAGCAATAACCAGCACTGGGGGCTGAGTAATCCCCGCCCTGTGGGAGGCTGAGGCCGGAGGATCTTTTGAGTCTAGGGGTTCAAGACCAGTCTGGGCAACGCAGCAAGACCTCGTCTCTACAAAAGATATAAAAATTAGCCAGGCGTAGTGGTGTGTACTTGTGGTCCCAGCTACTTGGGAGGCTGAGGTGGGAGGACAGCCTGAGTCTGGATGGTTGAGGCTGCAGTGAGCTGTGATGGTGCTACTGCACTCTAGCCTGCACGACAGAGTGAGACCCTGTCTCAATAAATAAATGAATGAAACGAGCACTGATGAACCAGAGTCCTTGGAGCCACACCTGCAGCTTAGGATGCCCAGGAGCAGGCCGGGTGCGGGGACTTTTGCCTATAATCCCAACACTTTGGGAGGCCGAGGCAGGCAGATCACGAGGTTAGGAGTTCGAGACTCGCCTCGAACTAAAAATACAAAATAGAGTCAATAGATAATAGAGTCAAACCCCGTCTCTACTAAAAACACAAAAATTAGCCAGGCATGGTGGCACGTGCCTGTAGTTCCAGCTACTCAGGAGGCTGAGGCAGGAGAAACACTTGAACCCAGGAGGTGAAGGTTGCAGTGAGCCGAGACTGCGCCACCACATTCCAGCCTGGGCAACAGAGTGAGACTCTGTCTCAAAAAAAAAAAAAAGAAAAAAGAAAAAAAGAATGCTCAGGAGTTCAGCACGGTGGGGAGAAATGGAGATGGACACTTCTTGGCCCCACAGCTCCATGCCCCAAGTGGGGAGCTGACTGCACACCTGGGCACAGGAGGTGGTGAAGTGCACCAACTGCTGGCAGATCAGGAGGTGGTGGAAATGGGAACTGACAGTGTGAGTGGAGCTTCTCACCCCTCTAGGCACTGCCAGGTGCCCACCACAGCTGGGATGGTGGCCAGGGCAGGATGGGGGCTGCAGAGCTCCTGGGATGGCCCTTGGCCAGCTGGGCAGGAAGGGGAGGGTCTGTGGGCTCCTCACTAGCTCTACAGCTGCAGGTGAGTTGCTTAACCTCCCCAGACTTCACGCCTCATCTATAACGTGCCTCATCTATAATTTTTTTTTGAGACAGAGTCTTGCTCTGTTGCCCAGGCTGTAGTGCAGTGGCACAATCTCGGCTCACTGCAACCTCCACCTCCTAGGTTCAAGCGATTCTCCTGCCTCAGCTTCCCAAGTAGCTGGGATGACAGGCATCCACCACCGTGCCCAGCTCATTTTTGTATTTTTAGTAGAGACAGGGTTTCCCCATGTTGGCCAGGCTGGTCTCGAATTCCTGACCTCAGGTGATCCACCTGCCTCAGCCTCCCAAAATGCTGGGATTACAGGCGTGAGCCACGGTGCCTGGCTTACAATGGCTTCTTGTACGGCTGAGAGCCTTCAGAGCGTCACACATCTAAAGTGCCTAGCACCCAGTTCACATTATCACATGGGCTGGCCAAATCTAAGAGAGGCAATTTACACCTGGCTCCTGTGAGGGACAGGTGAATTACACAGTATATGGGAAAAATATGCAGTGCCGGCTACACAGTAAGCTGTGTGTCAGTAACAGGTATTATCATTATTAAGAACAGGGACAGCTACATACTTTGCAGAGCCCAGTGCAAAATGAACTTGCGGGGCCCTTGCTCACACATCATGAAGAATTTCAAGGTGGCGACCGCAGAGCATTAAATCAAGCTCAAGCCCTTTGGAGTGTAGGGCCCTCTGCAGCTGCAAAGGCTGCACAACCATGAGGCTGGCTGTGATTGGGACACAGGACACCAGAATCTTTTTTTTTGAGATGGAGTCTCGCACTGTCACCCAGGTTGGAGTGCAGTGGAGCGATCTCGGCTCACTGCAAGCTCCGCCTCCCAGGTTCGTGCCATTCTCCTGCCTCAGCCTCCCGAGTAGCTGGGACTACAGGCACTGGTCACCACGCCCGGCTAATTGTTTTTTGTATTTTTAGTAGAGTCGGGGTTTCACCATGTTAGCCAGCCAGGATGGTCTTGATCTCCTGACCTCATGATCCACCCGCCTCGGCCTCCCAATGTGTTGAGATTATAGGCATGAGCCACCGTGCCCGGCCCAGACTCTTTATAATGGGCTCAGCTGTCTGTCCTTGGGAGGGTTGCTTGTCTGCTCAATGCTGGCAATGAGTGAGGCTTTGGGTTCCATGCCTCCCCTGGTCTCCAGATTATTCTGGGAGAGCCCCTTATTACCTAGGAACTCCTAATAGCTGCTGCTCAGCCCAGCCCCAGATTCATCGGTCTGGAATAAGAGAACAGGATCCTTGAGTGTGAGGGCAGAAGACCCTTTGAGATCATCCCCTTCCCACCCCAAAATGCGGAGGACCTGCCAAGAACACGTGGGCCCCAGTGATGGGGCAGGATGAAGACCCAGCCTCTGAGTCCCAGCCTGGGAGCCCCATCTGGAAGAAGCAGCTCAGGCCTCATGAGGACGCCAGGGCTCCATGGCAGGAGGAGGCTGTGCTGGGGAGGAGGGGTGTGGGGAGGACAGTGCCACACCTGTCAGCCTGGGCTGTCCCTGCAGGAGTGGAGGGAGGAGTTTTTGTTCTCTTGGCTTCTCTGTGTTTTTTTGCAGTGGCACAAATTGCTTTTGTAATAACAGGAAAAAATGATCAACGAACCTTCATTTAAGAAAAAGCACAGCGTTCTCATGGGAACCAAGAAGACAAGGCCTTAATGCAAAGTATATTCTGAGAGAAGAAAACAAGAAGAACAGAGACGATTGGATTACAGCAATTGTTCTTATAACTCCTCCCCGCCCACCCCCTCGATGAGAAGCTGGTTTGAAGAACTGAGTATCAAATCCCTGCTGAGCTCTGAGGTTCCAGGTGTGGATGGGGTGTGGGGCCCACGTATGTGTCAGTGTGTGTGGGTGTGACTATGTGAGCAACTGGGTGTGTGAGATTCAGGCCCAGTCGGCTTGTCCAGAAGCCAGGCCTGAGATGCCCTGGGGGTGCTAACAGGAGTAGAGAGACCCCAAAGGAACACAGGCTTTGAAACGAGGCAGAATTGAGTTGGAGTCCCAACCCCACCAACCCCACCTCTCTTCACTCCCCAGGCAGCATAGAAAACAGCGCCTGCCTCTCTCCAGGCGTCCTCGTGGAAGTGACATCGTCTTTAAACCCTGCGTGGCAATCCCTGACACACCACCGTGATGCCTAGGGAAGACAGGGCAACCTGGAAACCCAACCCCTTCCTTAAGATCATCCAACTATTAGATGATTATCCGAAATGTTTCGTCGTGGGAGCAGACAATGTGAGCTCCAAGCAGATGCAGCAGATCCGCATGTCCCTCCGTGGGAAGGCTGTGGTGCTGATGGGCAAGAACGCCATGATGTGCAAGGCCGTCCGAGGGCACCTGGAAAACAGCCCAGCTCTGGAGAAACTGCTGCCTCGTTTCCGGGGGAGTGTGGGCTTTGTGTTCACCGAGAAGGACCTCACTGAGATCACGGACATGCTACTGGCCAGTAAGGTGCCAGCTGTCACCCATGCTGGTGCCATTACCCCATGTGAAGTCACTGTGCCAGCCCAGAATACTGGTCTGGGGCCCGAGAAAACCTCCTTTTTCCAGGCTTTAGGTATCACCACTAAAATCTCCAGGGGCACCATTGAAATCCTGAGTGATGTGCAGCTGATCAAGACGGGAGACAAAGTGGGAGCCAGTGAAGCTAAGCTGCTGACCATGCTCAACATCTCCCCCTTCTCCTTCGGGCTGGTCTCCAGCAGGTGTTTGACAATGGCGGTATCTGCAACCCTGAAGTGCTTGACATCACAGAGGAAACCACATTCTCGCTTCCTGGAGTGTGTCCGCAATATTGCCAGTGTTTGTCTGCAGATCAGGTACCCAACTGTTGCATCAGTGCCCCATTCTATCATCAACGGGTACAAAGGAGTCCTGGCCTTGTCTGTGGAGACTGATGACACCTTCCTGCTTGCTGAAAAGGTCAAGGCATTCTTGGCTGATCCATCTGCCTTTGTGGCTGCTCTCCCTGTGGCCGCTGCCACCACGGCTGCTCCTGCTGCTGCTGCTGCTGCAGCCTCAGCTAAGGTTGAAGCCAAGGAAGAGTCGGAGGAGTTGGATGAGGATACGGGATTTGGTCTCTTCGACTAATCACCAAAAAGCAACCAACTTAGCCAGCTTTATTTGCAAAACAAGGAAATAAAGGCTTATTAAAAAAAAAAAAAAGAAAGAAAGAAAGAAAGAAAAAAAAAGAAAATAAAACAACACCTGCTTCCACGGTTGTGGCAGTGGGGTTTAAAGAAAAGGAGCAGGCAGAAAGAGCACACAGTAGTGAAGCACACCCCCAGCCTCTTAAAGGCCACGACAGCCTCAGAGCAGGCAGGAGGAGCACACAGCAGGTGTTTAGCCAGCGTGAAGCCCCCAGCCCCTGACAGGCCACGACAGCCTCAGAGCAGGCAGAAGGAGCACACAGTAGGTATTCAGCCCTCATGAAGCAGGCCCCCAGCCCCTGACAGGCTATGACAGCCTGAGGCAGGACCTCATGGTGATCTGTAACCTGACCCCAGAGGAGGACAGCAGGGAGGGCGAGTGGCACCCCGGGAGGCCAGAGCCTGGCGTCCCACCCTGTTACCCTCGTGCTCAGTGTCCAGGGGCTGCGGGTTAGCCATGGCCTGTACCGAGCCTTATGAGAGACCCTCCAGCCATTCGGTGGAGCGTGGAGACCCCTCGTGGCCACACGGAGGACTGCAGCTGCAGCGCCTGACCTCTCGCCAGCAGCGGAGCTGCTCTACAGCCCTGGCAGAGCTCCGCAAACATTGCTTGAGCTCCTTTTTATTTTATTTTTATTTTTTGAGACAAGATCTCACTCTCGCCCAGGCTGGAATGCAGTGGCACAGTCTCAGCTCAACACAACCTCTGCCTCCAGAGTTCAAGCGATTCTCCTGCCTCAGTCTCCTGAGTAGCTGGGTTTACAGATGTGCGCCACGACGCCCGGCTGATTTTTGTATTTTTAGTAGAGACGGGTTTTCGCCATGTTGGGCCAGGCTGGTCTCAAACTCCTGGTCTCAAGTGATCCACCCGCCTCGGCCTCCCAAGGTGCTGGGATTACAGGCGTGAGCCACTGCACTCGGCTGCTTGAGCTCCTTTTAAGGTGCCAGGATTTATGCTTGGTGTTATGGACAAAGAAAGGAAGTGATTCCCACCCCAGAGAAGCTACCACCGGGAGAGTTACAGAGGCTGGGCCGCCCTATTCCTACCTCCCACCCCTGTATACATCCATATAGAAGAGAACTCAGGGTTCAATCGGGGGACCTAGAGCAAGACACCCATTTTCCCATACCTTGCTCCCCATGTTGGCCTTATGGGGGTGGTACCCTGTAGAGTACCTGGAATAGTCAAGAGCTCAAAAATTCTTATGATTATTGAAGGTATAAAAGGACAAGTAAATTGAAGCCAAGTGCAGTGGCTTATACGTGCAATCCCAGCACTTTGGGAGGCCAAGGTAGGAGGATGGATTGATTCCAGGAGTTCACGACCAGCCTGGGCAACATAGTGAGACCCCATCTCTACAAAAAATTAAAATTAAAAAATTAGCTGGGTGTGGTGGCACCCACCTGTAGGAGGCTGAGGCGGTAGAATTGCCTGAGCCCAGGAGTTCTGAGGCTACAGTGAGCTAGGATCCTGTCACTGAACTCCAGCCTGGGTGACAGAGTGAGGCCCTCTCTCAAAAAGATGGTGGGGGCAGGTAAATTGGGTCAGAGTCATGCCCCCTTACTCCCCTCCAAGCAGTAGAAATTGCTAATAAAATGCTTAAAACAAGGTTCATGATGTGCCAGACACTAGGAGAAGCCCTTTGCATGTGGTGCCTCATCTGATCCCTGAAGAGCAGGTACTATTCACCTGGATGAGTAAGCTGATGCCCAGAGAGGTTTAGGCAATTAGGTTAAAGTGATAGATTTGGAATTTGAACCCAGGCCCACGTGGTTCCAGAGCCCAAGCTTTGGTGCACAAAGCAATGAGTCTGCCTAGCAGTGTCAGAGGTGTTTGAACCAGAGCAACTCCATCTTGAATAGGGGCTGTGTAAAATGAGGCTGAGACCCACTGGGCTTCATTCCCAGGAGGTGAGGCATTCTTAGTCATAGGATGAGCTAGGTCAGCACACGGTACAGGTCACAAAGACCTTGCTGATAAAACAAGACGCAGTAAAGAAGCCAGCCAAATCCCACCAAAACCAAGATGGCGACGAAAGTGACCTCTGGTCATCCTCATTGCTCACTATATGCTAATTATAATGCATTAGCATACTAGAAGACACTCCCACCAGCGCCATCACAGTTTACAAATGCCATGGCAACATCAGGAAGTTACCCTATATGGTCTAAAAGTGGGAGGAGCCCTCAGTTCCAGGAATTGCCCACCCCTTTCCGGGAAAACTCATGAATAACCCACCCTTGTTTAGCATATAAGCAAGAAATAACCAAAAAAATAGCTAACCAGCAGCCCTCAGGACTGCTCTGCCTATGGAGTAACCATACTTTATTTGCTTACTTTCTTAATAAACTTGCCTTCACTTTACCGTATGAACTCACCCCGAATTCTTTCTTGCATGAGGCCCAAAAAGCTTTTCTTGGGGTCGGGATCGGGACCCCTTTCCAGTAACAATGGGGCCGCCCATGATTTACTAAGCAAATGCACTCACCTCTCTGGGCCTTGGGGTCCTCCCCATTCAGGCCAGATATTTAGTTTTATTTGTTTTGTTGTTGTTGTTTTAAGACCATGCGGGGTCTAGCTCCCAGCCCTGGATGCCCTTTGGATTCACTAAGTTTACTTGGTCTGGGAGCATCCTGGAAACAGATTTTTTTTTAAGCTTCACAGGTGGTTTTAATGAGCAGCAAGGTTTGCAAAGGGCCTCGCAGGCCATAGTACAGAGATTAAACTTTATTCTGCTGGGTGACAAACCAGTGGTGGCTCCTCATGTCCCCCCAACCCTAGGTCTACTCAGTTGCCTTTTGCTATTTATTTATTAGACAAAATTGACCCCTTGGAAGTAAATAATTCAGTGGGGGGTTAGTATATTCACAAGGTTGTACAACCATTACCACCAGATTCCAGAAAATTCCATCCCCCCATAAAGAAACCCTGTAGTGGCCAGGCACGGTGGCTCACGCCTGTAATCCCAGCATGTTGGGAGACCGAGGCTGGTGGATCACGAGGTCAGGAGATTGAGACCATCCTGGCTAACATGGAGAAACCCCATCTCTACTAAAAACACAAAAAATTAGCCGGGCGTGGTGGCGCGCACCTGTAATCCCAGCTACTCAGGAGGCTGAGGCAGGAGAATCTCTTGAACCCGGGAGGTGGAGGTTGCAGTGAGCTGAGATGACGCCACTGTACTCCAGCCTGGGTGACAGAATGGGGCACCATCTCAAACAAAAAAAAAAAAAAAAGAAGAAGAAAAAAAAGAAAAAAAAGCAACCCTGTAGTGATGAGCAGTCACTGCCCATTTCCCCTCCACCTAGCCCTTGGCAACCCTAACCTACTTTCTATCTCTACGTATTCGCCTATTGCGGGCATTTCATATGAATGGAATCCTACAAGATCTGGTCTTTTTGTGTTTCATTTTTGCTCTTTTGTATTCTTCCACTTGGCATAATATTGTCAAACTTCATCCATGTCATAGCATGCATCAGGACTTCATTCCTGTTTACTGCTGAATAATATTCCATTGTATGGCTGGACCACATGTGTAAAATCCATTCATTGGTAGACTGATGGCTTTAAGGCTCTGGCCTTCTCTTAGACAAGAGAAGCGACCCAGTTGACACAGGTGGTAGGGCTGAGAGAGGCACCAGAAAACCCAGACCCTGCCTCTCGAGCCTGCAGGAAGGAAGGAAAATCCGGAGGAAAAGGGGTGTGAAAACCAACTCCGGAGAGTTCCAAAGGAGCACATCAAGGTAGACCCTGAGCAGCCATGAGGGACGGGCCACACTTGTCCCCTCACCTCCCTCAGCAGAGGTAAACAAGGGATTGGGATAAAGCTATATCCACCAGGCTGCATCATCGAAGTATTGCCGAAAACACAGAAATAACCTAAATGTCTAGCGACAAGGAATTTATCCAACAAACTATGGCGTGTCCATCCAAGGAAATACCAGGCAGTCAAAAATGATGCAGCATCGGCTAACATTTATTGTGTGTGTTGGGGGGTGGATGGGTGTGTGTGTGGGTGGATGGGTGTGTGTGTGGGGGTGTGTGTGTGTGTGTGTTTAGATGGAGTCTTGCTCTTGTTACCCAGGCTGGAGTGCATGGTGCAATCTTGGCTCACTGCAACCTCTGCTTCCCGGGTTCAAGCGATTTTCCTGCCTCAGCCTCCACAGTATATGAGATTACAGGTGCCCACCACCACGCCTGGCGAAGTTTTGTATTTTTAGTGGGGATGGGGTTTCACCATGTTGGCCAGGCTGATCTCAAACTCCTGATCTCAGGTGATCTACCTACCTGGGCCTCCCAAAGTGCTGGGATTACAGGCGTGGGCCACCGCCCCCGGCCACATTTATAGCGTTTACTGTGCCAAGTTCTGTTTGCTCGTTTCATGTGTTCTGATGCACTCAACTCTCACAATAATTCTACAGGTAGGTGCTTTTATGATCCTCATTTCACAAAGAAGAAACTGAAGCCTGGAATACTTACATAATTTGCCCAACATTGCACAGATAGACAGCAATGGAGCTGAGATTTCAACCCGGGTCCATTGCTTAATTAATATCTCTGTTCCGTTGTCGCTCTGAAGGTATAATGAAAAAATATTTACAGACATGAGACAACGCTGTTCACAAAATATTGGTGGAGTGAATAAATCGGGTTCTGGAACAGTATGCAGGGTATGAATCAAGACTTGAGGGAAATATGCCAGATTGCAAATCTGGGAGGTCTCCACACATTCTGATTCTGAGTAATTTTTACTTTCTGCTCTGTGATTGTATTTCCCAGTCCTCCATGAGGACTATGTTTTTGTTTTCAATAAGAAAAGTATTTTATTTGGTTCCCTTAAGAAAAATAAACCTTCGTATGTTGCCCGTGGGAATTCAATGTGTTATATTCCCTATGGAGGGCAATTCCGCAATATTTATCAAAGTTGTAAATGCATTTGCCCTCTGAGTCAGCAGTCCTGAGTCTACATTTTATTCTTATAGGTAGAGCTGAGCAAGGATGATGTACCAGGTAATTCACGGTAGCATGGCTTCTAATAATGAAAGACTGGAGGCCGGGCGTGTTGGCTCATGCTTGTAATCCCAGCATTTTGGGAGGCCGAGGCGGATGGATCACTTGAAGTGAGGAGTTCGAGACCAGCCTGGCCAACATGGCGAAACCCCATCTCTACTAGATATACAAAAATCAGCCTGGCCTGGTGGTGTGTGCCTGTAATCCCAGCTACCTGGGAGGCTGAGGCAGGAGAATCACTTGAACCTGGGAGGCGGACGCTACAGTGAGCCCAGATCGTGCCACTGCACTGCAGCCTGGGCAACAAGAGTGAAATTCCATTTCAAAAAAAAAAGAAAAGATTGGAGCCGGGTGCAGGCACTTTGGGAGGCTGAGGCAGAAGGATTGCTTGAGCCCAGGAGTTCGAGACCAACCTGGGAAACATAGACCCCGTCTCTATGAAAAAAAGAAATTAGCCAGGCATGGTGGCGCATGCCTGTTGTCCCAGCTACTCAGGAGGCTGAGGTGGGAGGATTGCTTGAGCCTGGGAGGTCGAGGTTGCAACAAGCCATGATTGTGCTACTTCTTTAGCCTGGGTGGGTATCACAGCGAGAACTTGTCTCAAAAAAAAAAAAAAAAAAAAGATTGGAAACAGTATTAACTGTGCATTTTACCAGGGTCTGATTAAAC